TAATGTTTTATTAAAAAATGCGATTCATCGTACTGAAAAGACCCCAACTTCTTAAGTTCAGACTTGACCAACACTAGAACATTCAGTCCGTACTTGTCCAGTACTTGCAAACAGTGTGTAGCAAAAAATGACCTGCCCAACAAACTAGTTATCTACTAAATGACGAAAAGTAGAAATTAAGTCTAGTCCTATTTGTGTGCCCATATTCATAATCATAAATAATAGTGGCTTTTATATTCGGCATGCAAAATAAATTCATAGTTCATAGTTTAAAACCACTAGTGATGAAATATTGGCGCAATTAAGAAATAATGTAATAGTTTGTCGGCTACTGAACTTTGGCATCAGTTATCAGACACCTCCGGAAACTGGAGATAGGCGTTGCCTTTGTTCATATACACTGTATGTCGATTCCTTTAGGTCCTCTACACAATCTGTTTTTCTGAATTCTATAACCTGTGTTTTTCGAAAATTTTATTCCAGCTATATATTATTCTGATGATGTGAGTGAGATAATAAATAATGTAGTTCTACTAAACACTATTGGAACAGTCGCCATCAAGTACAATATAATTATACAGTACAGGGTATATGAAATTTATTACTTCCAAATTCAACCATCATGTTTTTTTTTTTTTAGATTATCCACCCGCCCAGGTCACTGACCCACATTAGCCTGGGGCGAAAATGTAATAATAATAATATTAATAATAATAATAATAATAATAATAATAATAATAATAATAATAATAATAATAATAATAATAAATAATAGTCAAAATAATTCATAATAAATAAAATTTATGATAAAACAAACAAAATAAAAATAATAAAATAATGATAATAATACAGTAGCTGTAATAATAATAATACTAATAATAAAGAACTATAAATACAAAAATGAAAAAAAAGATCAAAAGTGAGAAACGATATATGTATGTTGTGTTGTCAATGGTAAGAGAAACAATTGAGACCTGCAATTGCGTGTAAATGAAGCAGAAAGTCAGATCAGCAACCTGGGACTTGGTCACAATTTCGTGATGTCATATGGCAGCAGGGTCTACCATTAGACAAAACATTATGCTTCCAATATTTTCCCAGGCGGTAGTATCTCCCTGTTTGGTAGCTGCCTACCTACTACTTTTAAATTAATTATGTCCAACTGAATATTTTTCTTATGTATATACGAATCAAGTAAAACTAATCGACACATGCAGTAAATATAGGCCTTAACGTAACCGTTAATTAATTATTATACCCTGATTGATTTATTAATATAGACAATGGTTTTGTTTTTGCAGTATTTCTGGGTTGTTTGTGGCATTTGGCTTCAAGAACTTTAGAACACCTTCGTGTATACAAAGTCTACTTAACGAGGTGGAAAAGTGAGGTGTGTTTTATGCTCTTGGTATAATAAGGTGTGCTCTGTGTGCAGTATTTGGGGAAAATGTGTTATTCACACACTGCGAAATAAATTGTTATGTGCAGTATGCTTGAAAATAAATAAATTTGTGTTATTTGTACTTTGTAAAATAAAGTGTTATGTGCACTGGAAAAATAGTGTGTGCATTCGGAAAGAAATATAAGTTGTAATTACGGGAAAGAAGACGAGATATATTAATTTAAAAATCAACGATTTAGTTGTTGAGTAATTGTATGTAACAACCAAAAATTTAATTGTAATGAATTATGTTCAGTAACATTATAATCTATACAATATTACAATGAAACACAGGACATCAACAATTATATGTTAATGTTTTATTATAACTTGCCTGTCTATGGCTGATTCGGGGAGGTTGTGGGGATGCGGCCGCACCTTGGTACGAAAAATAATTTTTTTACGAGTCGTCTGGAACAAGCATAGTCGTAATGCAATTTATCATTTGTCAAATTAACTGTATCACTTACATTCCTTTGTCAACTGTAATTGTAATTGTAATACCTGTAAAATTAAGAGTAACAAATTACATTGTCATGGTAACTGTTTCATGCTCTGCTCATAAGGCTTTTTTCAATAGCGTAGTGCCCTCACTTGTACTTCTATACTATAGTCCTGTTTGGTCTCCTGAATTACACCATAGGCTGCCGTTGATTGAAAACATCTAAAACAGGGCCAACAAACTGATGCTTGGCACTGATAGACACCCCACATACCAGGAGAAATAAGAACGTTTTCAATTACCCAGTTTATACTATAGATGGTATAGAAGGACAAGGAGCGATTTCTGTGTAAGTTTATTAGTGCCTCAAAGGTTCATATAAATGTACATATTTGGAGAAATTAGAATTAACGGATGGCCGCCCCACTACAGGTGACAACCTTAAGTTAAAGAAATTGTCAGACAGACAACTGGAGTAAGAATTGAGAGCTCTTGCAATAACCTGACAGAGAATACTGAGATAGCACCAACTGTGAGCATGACCAACACGCAAGAGTTCATACATGCACAGTACGAGACTTAATGATCCTAACTGACTGGCTAGTGAGCCGACAAGTGAAGGTGAGTGATTGTGTGTGTGTACTTGGGAAAAATATGTTAACTGTTGAGAATATTTGGCAAAATAATAAAAAATAAACTGTAAGACAGTCCATTGGCACTCGGTGCCTTTTAACATAAACGGCAAATAATGCCTTTGAAGAGTAAAATGGACAGCGATTCTCAGCCGCCCATTTACACAGAAAACACTAGTTATTCTATATGTATATAGTTTTTTTTTTTTTGGTTCTTTTTCTCTATGATAAAACTATTTATGAACGCCAAGGTGGGCATTACCCGAACAGTCTCTTCATAAACCTGTTTCTTCGGAGACCACAATAAAGGTAAACTAGATTGCTCATATTTGACGCTGAAATTACTGATTAAAACAAGAATATGAATAATTTTCATTTAACTTATCAACTATTCTACTTTTGTTTTTATTAGCAATCTTAAACCCTTAATACACTTACCGCATCATCAAACCATTTTTGTTGATATTAACGCTGGTCAAATCCTCACCTTCCTTTCCTACTGCTACTATCGCATCAATGAACAGCGCACATTGGTTCATGGGAAAATCTTTCCTGCACGTCCTGCCGCCCTGTGGAGATGGTTAAGGGCAGTAGACTGTGTGGCGGGAGAATGTGCCTGCAAAGTACAAACGAGCCTAAATCATATACCGGTGTTGGGCTACGAACCTGCATCGTGTGCTAGTGTATGTAGAATAATTACCCATTAAATGAGTACAATGACCAGTTCAGATTAGGTTCTATGGGTTTTGTTTTAATTCCACATTTTCTTCTGCTTCGACATGGTAGAAAGGGTCATAACTTAATAACTAAGCAGTTCCCAAGCTTTCATTAACACTATATTTAGCATGAACAATTGCTCTAGAAAAAATGAAAACAAAATACACTGTAGGTTTTTAGAAATAAATACCTGATGACCCTGCTGACTGCTTTGAGGCTCTTCCACCCTTCAACCCACCTGTCTCCCTCCTTAAATCGCGAGTTTTTGGGCATTCCGGGACAAGCACCCGAAGGATACCTTTATTTATTACGAGTAGTAGTATGGCAGTAGTATCATGGTGAACTATCACTTGTCTCTGTTAGTGAAGTAAAGCAACGTTGGGTTTAGTTATTACTTGATGGGTGACTGCACCTCATGGCTTGTCAGCCGTCCTTGGTCAATTTCATTATCTCCAGTGAACAACGATGTATAATAACTCATTATATATCGTTGTTCACTGATACCTATGAAACTCATCACTATAAGAATAATAATTCATATACCGGAAACAGAAGACTCCACCCGACGTATAGCATGCATTAGCGTTAATGTTAAAGTGATTATTAATCTTCAGGTGAAATAAACAGAGGGAGACTCTTTCAGGTGATCTAAAAACAGAAACAAATCAGACTAGTGGTACAAAACACAAAAAACGGAAAACAGATGGTGGGTTGTAGGTCCTGGGAGAAAGAAGACACAGTAAGTTGGTGGAGGTGAAGGAGGAGTCAGTCAACACCCAAACACTTCTTCACACCCCCTACACCCGCCACCAACTACTGCTCGTAATGGACAGTAAAGGCAGAAAATCGTCGTTTGTGACAATGGAACAGGGGTGAGTGTGTCAATGAGTACTGTGGTGGGAAGAGAGTCCACCGGGAGATATTATATATGTGTTATAGTTAAGATTCAAGGAGGCTGAATCTGGTGATGGAAGTACCGGATGACGTTAGAGATATGACAAGTTAAGCTTCGTAGATACTGTTATAATATTTTGGGGGTTTGCTATCTATGAACTTATTGATTTAAAGTCATTGTGCCCTTATATACTTACTGAATCGATATTTACATCCATTGGTAGGTCAGTCATAGCAAGGTGTATAGGAAGTTATTCTGAATTGACGTAACCATTTTTTTCTGAACCCTTGTGGTAAAGGTTAAGGAGATGGTTGTCATTCTATTTTTTATTATTGGTGTCTTCATGGATATGTTTATTTGATAATAATTTATGATGTCTTATTTTGCTTTACCACAGCAGAAAACTTGTTGCAATCACTATTTTTCTGCTTTTTTAATATCAGTAATAACATACTTTCTAAGCACTCTTTAATTTTGGAATTATGTAATAGAATAATGAAACTGGGGTAATAGTTGAAGACAGCAATGTGCTTTAATCTTGAATGTCATCTGGTGCGTATGTGCTGCTTTTTCACACTTAGGGTCGATACTGCTTCAGTTTGGGATAGAGCAACTATTGACCCTGGGTGTACTGTATCATAAGTCACTTTGCAAAATGTTGATCGGTAAACTTGAGAGGCTATGCCATACTGTGGTTGCTAAGGGAAAGATGGGTGGTTGGCAGTGTGCCTAGGTGGCAAATAACATTTCAGGCTCAGCGTGCATTTTTCTTCATAACAATTAACCATGTCGCATCTAATAAACTTTGTCAATCAATTACAGTTTGTCAAAGTTGGATATGCAGGTTGCAATTTCCCAGCACATCTTCCGTCAATGGTGGGTCGGCCCATCATCAGAGCCACAAACAAGATCGGTGACATAGAAGTCAAGGTAAGACTTTGTGATGTCCAAGAAAGATATAATAACTTAATTTGCTGTAGTTAGCATTTACAATAATCATCTACATTACAGTGAAGTGTAATAGGAAGTGCTGTACTCTACTTTATTGAGAATTAGTTTTCTGAGTTTAACCTTTCCACAGGTGTACCCATAACAGTTGATTTTTGAGTTTGTATATTCATAGAATATATTTGCAATATATACAGTATAAACAAACTGTGGAGTTATGTTAATGGAGATTAATGATTGATGTTTTGTACGGGTTACCATTGTTTATGCTGAGGGTTGTGTTCGAGAAAAGGCTGGTACTGTACAGTCAACAAAAGATTATGGTGCTACTATAGCGTGCGGTCTACAAAGATATTCTTAGTCTAGCTTAACCTGACCTGACCTAACCTGACCTGACCTAATCTAACCTAACCTAAATATCTTGTAGACCGTGACGCTATAGTAGCACCAAAGTTATTGCAACACTTTCCATACTTTTTATTCTGGGACACAGGATGAAATATTTAGAAAACCCTTGTATGCCAACACAACACATACCATAAGTTGGTGAGGTATTTGCTCATATATTTATCAAAATATATGAGGCAAATGTGTGAAAGCAGGGTTGAGTTTTTACAAAGTAGGCATCAGTACAGGGGACAGTCTATAAGAACATAATTTTGGCAAGGCACAGTATTTGATATTATGGGGTTGTTACACATAATAGTGTGAATTTAGAAGAAAAAATTCCCATGTCAGTTTATCTTAAACAGTCTATTTATCATTTGCTGTACCTTTTGCCCTATTATTGTACTCCACAATGTAAATTTGTCAGGAATGCTGAAGGCTCACAGCTTATTGGTGTGTCTTAATTCTGGGTAAAGCCAATGATTTTCCTGTTTAAAATAGTAAAAGTATTAAAGCTATTGCAGAATTCTGAACTTACAAATACAGTACAGTACAGTACAGTATATTCATTATAGCTAAAAGTGAATAACGAGAGAGGAGGAGTTTTTCTTGATTCTACCCACATGGGAAGACTTGCAAGAGAACCTGAAGTGTTTAATATATTTTACTACTGTACTTAGAGCAATACCGTAATTCTAACTGCTACCTCATAAATCATTGAAAATTCAGGTGTCACTACCTTTCTATATCACTAAGCTATTTTTAGTTTGGAGTTTGATGATTTGGTAGTGATTGACAGACCTGTATGACTGTGTTCTGAACCTGGTAAATCAGTGGCCATAGTTGTGGGTTAATGTGCGAGCTTCTTCACTGCCTTCCACACGCTGATGGCTTCACTGTGGTGCTGATGATTATTGTCGTGTACTACTTTAGTGTTTAATAAGATAACTTGGTCACTAGATATTATCCTAATTGCTGAATATAGACTTGTTTAGAGGCAGATTCTGTTCATAATAACAAATAACCTCTGAAGAACTTTATTTCATTTAAGATTACTAGTTAAATGACTTTGTTTAGTTTGTTTCATGTTAAGTTTTCAATTAATAAGACCTTATTTATTTATCGACTTATTGGATATGTTCTACACTTATTGCTATCCAGAATTGTTTGTGAAGGTTCACCATTAAAGATTAGGTTAAGCAAGACCTCAAGTGATAACTATCAAGATATTCCATACAATTGTTTCTTATAATTTTTTCAACTAATAATAAAATTACTCATAATACAGTAAAAGTAATTAGGGAACAGTGTGTTAATTTTCGGTGTTAAGATTATACAGTATTTTGATTTACTATATTACCCTGTTACTTCACATGATCCTTCATATCTATAGTTTACTGAGTTTATTTATTCATTTATTTATATTTTGCACTTTTTTTGTTTCGGGTGTAAGTAAATTTCCTTTTGCTTTCTTGAACTGTAAGAATATTTTTTTCCACATTTGTTGCAGGAATTTATAGGTGTAAGCACATTTGAGAGCAAAGGTTCAGGTTGTATGCTAAAACCCCAGTCGTGTTCATGAGTACTGATTTGTTTTGACTTTTCTAAATACTTTGAGTAGTGATGTTGATCCCAGGTATGCAATAGGAGCCTTTAACATTCATTGCAAGTGTACCTCCCTTGGTTTTGTTATTACCCTCTAGTAAAACTTCCACTATTTTATTTTGTTTATTTATTGTTTTGGTCAGTTCCACATCCTAGTAGTTATGTGTTTTGTGTTCTTAACAGCCCGGGGCCAAAAAGTGTCAAAATATTGATATACATTAGTTGAAGCACATTAAAATTAGTACGACTTCTCGGAGCAGTCAGTTGTCGTTATTACATATTTAAAACCAGAGATATAAACCAGGATCCTAGTGGCAGTACTCGGGTATTAGGGATACAGTAGTTAGCATGCGCTAATCTTTGTGTCCAGTTATTAGTTTTTACAGGGGGTATTTTTTTAACTATTGTTTTGCTGCCATTGACCATAGTTTTTACCTTTTATTAGCTGTCAATACACCTCAGAATATCATAGCTACATATATAATGGTCATAGAGGTCATGGCAGGGTTGTACACATATTTATTTCCAGCTTTGTTTTGTCAGTGGATTTCAATATGGTTTTAACTTTTTAATACTGAAGTCGTCTCATTTATTTTACTTTTATACTGGCCAAATTTGCTAAGGGTTAATCACATAGAACATAGTAAATTTATTTTTAAAATGAATTAATGGTTTGCCCTTCTGCTTCACTATTATATTTAACCTTACTGAAGACAGCCACATATATACATGTAATATCGCAATTTAAAATAGGGTTAAATGGTATGATGTTATTGTAAGCTAACAAAACTATACTTGTCTCTTAGTTGATTTAGATTTCTAAGCTTCATTAATTACCCCATAATTTACCTAATACTGTACCATACTGTATGTATTGTATAACTACTAAAAGACTGAAAGCTTGAATTTTAGAGTAGTTAAGTGCCTCTACATTTATACATTGTGTCACCAACGATACGGCTCCAACCTTTTTAATCATCTAAATATTTTGTTTCTTTGTGTGATTTTTTTTTACTTGTCCTTACAATTAAGTGTCTAACAGTCTGTATGTACTCATGGTCAATTAACTGTTGTTTTGTGCACTGCTGCTTGTATTGGAAGGAGTGGGCTCATTTCCCTGTAAGTAGTAATGAGATGACCAGGAGAACATGTTGACAAACCTTCCCTCGAGTCACATGTTGTCACTGGGTGTGCATGGTTGTGTGCTCTGGTGCCTGTGTGTTGTTAAGTTTAGTAAGGAGACTAATACTGTATATGTGTAACTTTGTGTTTTGGAGTTTCCTGTTGTTTTGTATTGTAGTTTCTTCTCTTGTGTATTGAAGACTGTTTGTTTATTTCCTCATAAAGTGAATGTTTTATTTATTTAACATATACTTGCTTTAATGTAAAAATAAATTAAAGAAAGAGTTTAAAGTAATTAATGAAAATGATGAAAGCAGATAAGATATGCACTAAACCACATGGAAAATTTGACCATTTTTTTATGACCTTATATCTGGCTTAAGTGGCTTGTATATTATACCATTAACTCAGTGCTGTTAAAATTCATGAAACCCAAGACTAATTTGTTCATTATTTGCATCTTTGATCTTCCCACACTAAGACCAACATCTTGAGGAGGAATTTAGTAACAGATGAACCACATAAGGCAGTGAGTCACATCAGCTGTGTGTACCTCACTTACTGTAACCTACTTAATTCCAGGTGCCTCATGCCATGGTGAAAATGTCTTATTGCAGTCTTAATCTTGATAGTGTGGAGTTTTTTAGTTAAGTTATTATGACAGACATTGTGCTGACTGGGAATGTAAGGTTACCTCATGCTTAGCAAACTTATTTTCTATTCACTTCAAGATGATGATTGTGTCTAGTGAGTGAGATTGTGTACACTGGCCTGGTGTTGTGGATGATGTGGAGACTTCAGTTTACAGTTAGGGCAGGAAGATGGTGACTTGTATGTCAAATTGATACAGTATACTGTATATATTTTAAGAGTTTAAAAGTATTTGGTCATTTCTCTCCTATGAATGTTGTAGTAGGAAGGATAGAACATAGAATTAAGTTGTAGAAATATTGTATTGTACTGTATGCTATATTGACGAGGGTGATGAATCTTCACAACGGCACTTCAAATAGTCCTTCCCACAGTATGCAAAGATGACTTCTCATGAAACACCCTTGGGGTCGGCAAACAGATATGTGAGGTCTTTAGGAAAAACATAAGGTCATAATTATTTGTATGACTTAGTCTGGACAAGGTAACTGACTCACCCTCCCTCGGGATATTTGAGAATGTCTACTGTCATTGAGTGGGTGATCCTGGAATCAAGTTATGGCTGATGAAAAGTGAGGTGTGCAACAGCTGGTGTAACATCATCACTCCTCCTTGGGTCTTATATGAACATGTGCCATTAATTATTTCTCCTACAGGCTGTTAGTTTTAGCAGTAAGGCATGAATAGGTAATAGACTCGCTCCAGCTGCCAGTATTCTAGGGGTTTCCTGGGCTTTAACACCTGTTGTCTTGGTGGGACTATGAAGGTGTTGCTTAGTCCAGAGATGGTCAGAAAATGGGAAAACCAAGATCAGTTCACTTCTTTTTTTTCCTGGTGTTTTTATGTAATAAGGTCTCTATGCAGGTAAGTAGTAGGTACAGTAGTACAGGATGAAGAAAGTTTTTGTAGTTTTGTATTCCTGTGTTAGGAGGATTTTGTATGCTAGTTTTTGTGAGTCACTGTTATTTCCAAGTTTCTTGGCTAATAAATTTGAAGATTTTGGTACCATAACGGAAGTGAAGCTGTAATAAAGAGTTAAAATTTTTCTTGTTTGTCTGTAAAAGATTTTTATTAAGAAACAGAGTTACTGAGTCATGTACATTACTGTACTGTAGTGTTGGAAAATATTGGTTCTTGTTGTTAGTCACATCACAACTCCAGCTAGTTCTATAAATCTGCCTTTTACTTCCTTACATTGTGCTTATTCATACACCTTGGAGTGTTCCATCCCTGCAGCACATAGGTACAATATATGTACCATAGCCTTTGTTATCTGGGCTTGGGAGGTTCATAGGTATTCATATATTCTTTCAAAAGTGGTAATTTTTTATTACTCTGCAGTAATAGTCACCACTTGTATTGTTGCTTTTATAAGTTTTCGGTTAATTCATTAGATTCAGCTCATAAATGTTGTACTTTGGAGATGATGATGGATGGTATTTGTAGTAACTGCTGCTGCTCTGCCTCCCAGCTGATTGTTGTATTTATCTTGTATTGTAGTGTATTTCTGTTCTGTGGTGTAATACTGTACAGTACTTATATTGCAGTTTATATTGACCTGTTCTAAGATTTTATTTCTGTTATTATGTTCATACAGTCCACAAAAAAAATATTGTTACTCAAGGGGTCGATGTGGTTCATGGTTTTCTGAGCAGTGTTAGTCCACTAGTTTCAGAACAGTTGGTACAGTCAACCACGAATAATGGTATATAAAGTAATTAAAGAATACAGTGGTTGAGACTTTGTACATAATAGTCTGTGGCTTGAATACAGAACAGAAAATACTGCAATCATAACTACATTAATTATAATTGTTTGTATGTCAGATTTTGTTTATGGGGAAGAGATAAAGCAGTGGTATGGTGATGGTGTACCAAGGCTTACTTAACTGATGGTAAAATCTTGCTCAAAATTCTAGGTCGTGAAGAAGAGCATGATGATGATGATGGAAAGGAACGATCTTTTTAAGCTACAATCCTAAATATTAAGTAAATTTAGAAACCATTTGTTCGGTGTTTTCAACGGCTACTAGACCTTGTAATGATTCCAGTAACTTCTGTAAGCCTCACATCGACATGATAGAAGACTTCATTAACACCTCTGTACTCTTTGAACTGTTCATCATGTAAAGAAGCACCACTGTACATGTTCACATCATTCCCATCATCATCCTTTTAAAGAGAGTTGATATTGGTTAGGTTAGGTTACAGAAGGAGTTTGTTGGTTGGTTAGGTTACTGAAGGAGTTTGTTGGTTGGTTAGGTTATTGAAGGAGTTTGTTGGTTGGTTAGGTTACTGAAGGAGTTTGTTGGTTGGTTAGGTTACTGAAGGAGTTTGTTGGTTGGTTAGGTTACTGAAGGAGTTTGTTGGTTGGTTCGGTTACTGAAGGAGTTTGTTGGTTGGTTAGGTTACTGAAGGAGTTTGTTGGTTGGTTAGGTTACAGAAGGAGTTTGTTGGTTGGTTAGGTTACAGAAGGAGTTTGTTGGTTGGTTAGGTTACAGAAGGAGTTTGTTGGTGGGTTAGGTTACTGAAGGAGTTTGTTGGTGGGTTAGGTTATAGAAGGAGTTTGTTGGTGGGTTAGGTTACTGAAGGAGTTTGTTGGTGGGTTAGGTTACAGAAGGAGTTTGTTGGTGCGTTAGGTTACTGAAGGAGTTTGTTGGTGCGTTAGGGTACAGAAGGAGTTTGTTGGTGGGTTAGGTTACTGAAGGAGTTTGTTGGTGGGTTAGGTTACAGAAGGAGTTTGTTGGTGCGTTAGGGTACAGAAGGAGTTTGTTGGTGGGTTAGGTTACTGAAGGAGTTTGTTGGTGGGTTAGGTTACTGAAGGAGTTTGTTGGTGGGTTGGGTTACTGAAGGAGTTTGTTGGTGGGTTGGGTTACTGAAGGAGTTTGTTGGTGGGTTAGGTTACTGAAGGAGTTTGTTGGTTGGTGTGAAAGTCCGTGTTATAAGTCGAGTGAATTTGGACAGTAGATAGCCTCTCTGTTATGTCTTTTCCTAAATCGGCAGAGGTGAAATCTGAGTCAAATCCTCTCTCTCTCCCTCTCTAGGCAGCAGCTTTGGCTTAATACTTTAGGGAATAAATCTGTATTTTAGCCTTGATGAGAATTTTTATTGCTCCTGCCTTGTACTGGAACTCATTTGTGTATTGCACCAGTTTCTTAATTGGTGAATACAAACTACTGTACAGCTGTATATTGATTTATGCATTTATTTCCATTCCTAGCTGGGTCATATGTACCTTTTATTATACTGTACTGTGCATGAGAAGTTGGGTATATGGTTTATAGGTCCAAACATCTGCATCATACTGTACTGTACCTGATCCTGTATTGTGGGTTTATGGTGCCAAGGTCTACTGTGTCCTTGTTAGAAGTCACTTGCTACCTCGTATTATCTCCAGGTCGCCACACTGTCAGTCCCAAGGGTATGTGGACATGAGTGGTTTTGCTGCAGTAGTAGGAAATTAATTATATTTTCTATAATTTTTTAGAATTGTAATTAAGATCATTGGATTAATAGAATGTCGTATTCAAAAATTTATAAGGATATTTTTAAATTTAATTCAAATATGTATTAAGTTGATGGAACTGACATTATGAAAGTAAAATTCCTGTAAATGTGTTAGTCTTTTTAGATCGGTAATCATAATAAAAAAAAGTCTTGATACATCTTTTGGCGAATATAAGGTTAAACTGTTTTGATCACATAGATAACAGAATCCATTTTAGGCTAAATCATCTACATTGCCCACGGCTGACAATTATCTTGGATTTTTTCATGTAATCTTCACCCCCCAGGATCTTATGGTGGGAGATGAGGCCAGCAAGTTACGGTCGATGCTGGAAGTGACGTACCCAATGGAAAATGGGATCGTCAAGAACTGGGATGATATGTGTCATGTTTGGGACTACACGTTCGGTCCTGAGAAAATGGACCTTGATCCTCACGAGTGCAAGATTATGCTAACTGAGCCGCCCATGAACCCAACCAAGAATAGGGAGAGAATGCTTGAGGTATGTTATGTTGTTGCTTTGAACCTCGCTTGTATAGGGTGTCTCATTGTCCTGCACCATAGGAAAATTAAATTTTGTCTTTTTTTTTTCAACTGATTGGTGTGTATTGTGTAGGATCTGGATTTTTTATACATGAATGCTAAATCGACTCTCCTCCAGTGTTTATTTCTCCGTCATCTTTGTTGTTTTGTTGTAGTTCCCTTCACATGAAAAAAAGGGAACATTGATTTTTGCTCTGGTAGTGTAAACAATGAAACACCCTGAACTAGTTTGTTACAGTCACATGATTAATCCCTTCACTTTAGGGACATCACTTTTATTATTTTCTAAAACTTGAGAATTGTAGACATAAGACTTCGAACATTTGTAAGCACGAAGGAAGCAAACAGAGATGAGGTTTCAATCCAATTTGTATGTAGATATTTAACAAGATTTTGGACGAGGTCAGTAATTAATCGGTCAACATCATCCAGTGGGTCTTTGGATATGATGATCTTGGCAGCCCAGCAATCTTTTTCATATAACCCTTAGATAAAAAACTTATTAATCTTGATAAACTGCCATTTGTATTGGTCCTAAGATCATGAAAAGTATCAAAGTGAATAACTGGAATGATTACATTACCTGGAATACTGTACATTATTTTTTTGTGCAATTCATCTTCATTGCACTTAACTCCTGGCATCTAATTTGCAGATGATGTTTGAAAAGTATGGCTTTGCTGGCGCATTTGTGGCTATCCAGGCGGTGTTGACGTTGTACGCTCAGGGGCTGCAGTCGGGCGTGGTGGTGGACTCTGGTGATGGCGTGACACACATCTGTCCTGTGTATGAGGGTTTTACCCTTCCTCAGATCAGGTAAAACTTTAGGTAGAGTGTATAGCACCATGTAAGACTGGATAGTTAATTGTAGCAGCCTGTAATAGATCAACTCTTGTACAAGATAAATGTATACAAAAGTATTGTAAGAATTCAGCAGATCAATACAATAATGAATTATTTATATAAAATTTTTGGTCGGGTAGGAAGTATACAAAGTGACTGTGAGGAGGTCTGGTAACTGTCAGGCTCGTAGTATTAGTCACACAACCTTTTTCATTTGCCAATAAGTGGGTTAAGGATTTATTGATATATAGAACATTATGCTTTCCTGCAGCTAATAATATTCCTTAATGTCCAGGAGGTTAGATATAGCCGGGCGTGACATCACCGTCTACATGATCAAACTGCTCCTGCTGCGAGGGTATGCCTTCAATCACTCTGCTGACTTTGAGACAGTGCGCATGATGAAGGAAAAACTGTGTTACGTTGGCTACAACATTGAACAGGAGCAAAAACTTTCGACAGAGACAACTGTTCTTGTTGAAAATTATCAACTGCCTGATGGTCGCATCATTAAGGTAAACCTGCAACATGGGTCTTGTGTGGTTATCATTAGAGCTTTTTTATGCTTAACATACACCTTTTTCCAGTATGCTATTTCCTTGCTTGTACTTTTTACCTGTACTGTACACCTGTAGTAACACCTGTAGTAGGAATACCTGTCTAATATCTCTACTTCTGACCTAGTTGATATTACCCATTGTCTTCCTCTGTGTCTATTACCACTCCTCCATTTAAGTACTGTTTATACCTCAAGATGGACCCATTGTGAAGATCATTATGTTGATTCTGAAAACATCCATAAATCAAACACTGTTCATCCCCAAGGAATTTGGAGTGGATATCTTTCTGTGCACTGCTTGTTCAGTAAAGTATATACCGTATAAAGTATAGATGGTGACATAATTTGTGACTTTCTACATAATTAATAGTTTTATTATGTTATTTCAGGTGGGTGGGGAACGGTTTGAGGCTCCAGAAGCATTGTTCCAGCCTCATCTGATCAATGTTGAAGGTCAAGGCATTGCTGAACTCCTTTTTGACACCATCCAGCGCTGTGATATTGATATTCGGCCGGAGTTGTACAAGCACATTGTTTTATCTGGTGGGTCAACCATGTATCCAGGGTTGCCATCACGGCTTGAGAGAGAACTCAAGCAGCTCCACTTGGAAAGAGTACTGAAGGTATGTTTTGGTTTTTGATTTTCTCAAGCTTGAAGTAATGTGTTACATGTCTAAATGTGAAATGACATTGCTACTTTTTTTTTCTTCATACGGTACATGGAATTGTATTTTGAAGAGAGTGGTATACACAGTAAGGCTGAATGTAACACATGCAAAATAGATTAAATCTATTTACTTCTGAATGTGCATATAATAACAATACTTACTTACTATGAATAAAACAGGAAATGTCACTAGGAAGTGATACAGTGGTCCCTTGGTTAACGAGCACAATCCGTTCCAGCAGGTTGCTCGTTAACCAAAACCATTGTTTCAATGGGTTTCTGGGTAATTGGTTCCAGCTCACCGAAAATTGCCTAAATTCAACAAAAAAGGTATAAAATTACACTTACTTTGAGGTGTGTATGTAGAAGGCTCCTGGATGTTGATGCTGATGTGAATTTGAAGTGGGAGGTGGAGGAGGAGAAGGGAGAAGAGAAGGAAGTGGAGGTGGAGGAGAAGCATTTTACTGCTTCTTGGAAGGTGAGTCACCTTCCATGAAAATGTCAGGAACCTCTAGACTGACAGATTCTCCACCATGAACATCCTCTCTCCTTCTTGAAGTGGAAGGCTGAGGGATAGCATCTTGTTCCCTCTGCCTTTTACTGAAGAAAGTGTCAATTGTGGTCTGTGGGGCATCTCTCCTCACCATTAACTTGTGTTTAAAGAAGACCATTGCGTCCTCAACATGACACAAAGTTGGTTCAGATTTTTCCACATCTGGGTGCTTTGAAGCCAGTTCCCTGATTTTCTCCCAGTGGTAAATCACATCTTTCAACTCTTTAGTTGACATATGGTCATCACTTTCCATTTCCTCCTCACCATTGTCAGCCTCTAACATCTCATCCAGTTACTTCAAGTCATCAGGAGTAAGTTCCTCCTCATGAGACATCACAAGCTCTTCCACATCCTTCTCCTCCACTTCAAGGCCCAATGACTGACCAATGGACACAATCTCCTGGTCCAACTCTGTGTCATCCTGAAATCCCTCAAAATCATGGACTACTGATGGCCACAGTACTTTCCATGAAGAATTGAGGGATCTAGTGGAGACTTCTTGCCATGATGACACAATCAATTTTACAGCCTCCAGGATGTTGAATTGTGTCTTCCAGAACTGTTTCAGTGTTAGTTCAGGATCATTGGAAGTTGCCTGATGACACGTCCTAAACATTTTCTTCATGTACAACCTCTTGAAGTTGCTGATCACATTCTGGTCCATTGGCTGTATGATTGATGTACAGTCGACCCTCGTTAATTCGGACTAATAGGGGGGGAAGGGTGTCCGTTTTAGCCGATTGTCCGAATTAACCGATTTAGTGGTTAATATTGCATTATATTTCAGTCATTGTTTTCGTCACGATTTTATCCCACTTTCCACTGTAATACGTACGTAATTTCAGCAAAAATATTACATTTCCGTGAATGTATTATATCAAGCACAGTATGAATAGAATATCATTGTAATATAACAGTATTTTAACCGAAAACTATTAAAAAAACGAATAACATCTCAAGAACATCGGAAGCTTAGGTAAAATCTTTTGTTTTCGTCATGTATTTTATCCTATTTTACATTAAAATACATCACGTTTCAGCAAAACTACTATTTATTTCCGAGAATATATTCATTCAGGCGCAGTTTAGGTAAAATATACGTGTGATGTAACAGTTTTTTAACTGAAAACGATTCGAAAAACGCGTACCCTCTAGCCCTGCTCAAGGAGAGGACTGGGAGAAGCTGTTTGGTGCTGCAGCCGATGACAAGGAAAATGATTTGGATGGATTTTAATGAAAATATTCAGAAATATGGTATCTTAGTATTTATTCACGTCAATTAGGACAGAATATTATTGTAATACAACAGTTTTTTAACTGAAAACCAATCGAAAAGCGATTACGGTAACATCTTTTGAATGAAAGAAAGCGAAAGTCATTGTTTTCGTCACGATTTTATCCCACTTTCCACTGTAATACATTCGTCATTTCAGCAAAAATATTACATTTCCGTGAATGTATTATATCAAGCACAGTATGAATAGAATACCGTTGTAATATAACAGTATTTTAACCAAAAACTATTAAAAAACGAGTAACTTCTTTTGAACATCGGAAGGTTAGGTAAAATCTTTTATTTTCGTCATGTATTTTATCCTATTTTACATTAAAATACATCACGTTTCAGCAAAAATACTATTTATTTCTGAGAATATATTCATTCAGGCACAGTTAAGGTAAAATATATGTGTGATGTAACAGTTTTTTAACTGAAAACGATTCGAAAAACACGTGTACCGTCTAGCTGATACTCAACAGCTGGTGGTGCGTCATGCGTCGTTGTAAACAATAGGAGGTTGAAGTAGATTACCGGGTATTATATTAAGTGTGAAATATCGAAAAGGTTTTTATTACCGGTATTTTTTGTAGATAACTGTGATACCGTATATGATATGATAAGTTAGCCTGTGCTAAGAACTTCAACATAGACAACTGAAAACATGTTGTAAGGTAATTTAGCATATTGTAAGTTGGTGAGCTTCATTTGCTGAAGGAACTGCACAACTTTTCATTACTAATTGGTACATATTTTACGTTTCCATTGTTTACCGGCAGTAAATGGTAAATATTTTTCATGTCTGAAGCTAAAAGTTGCATCCCCTCCCTACACTAGTGGTGATGTTACATTTAACCAAAAAGACGCTGGTGTTTTATCCCAGCAGTGGGTGGACCAGCATTTTAGGTTAAGGTCTGCGTAGGTAATATTCCTACAAATCTAAAAAAAAAAAAGTTCAGATTTTGTCCAAATTATCCGAAATCCGGATTAAAGGGGTCCAAATTAACGAAGGTCGACTGTAGTGTTGGGAGGCAAACACAACACTTTCACAAAGTCAAATTGATACTCCAAAGTTCTGGCAAGTTCAGGGTCATGACCAGGAGCATTATCCATGAGGAGAAGAGCCTTTAAAGGGAGTTTATTGGTGGTTAGGTAGATCTTGACAGAAGGGCAAAACACCTCAACAGCCCATTCATTAAAGAGCTGTCTTGTCACCCATACCTTACGGTTGGACTTCCAATAAACTCCAAGCCTTGCTCTTACCACTTTCTGTTGCTTGAACACCCTAGGGTTTACAGAGTGGTAGACAAGCATAGGCTTCAGTCGGAAATCTCCTGAAGCATTGGCACCAAGCAATAGAATGAGACGGTCTTTCATGGGTTTATGCCCAGGTTAAGAGGCTTCATCTCTGATGATGAATGTTCTTTTGGGCATCTTTTTCCAGTACAGCCCAGTTTCGTCCACATTGAACACTTGCTGTGGAAGATAATTTTCTTCCTCCATCAGTTCTTTAAATTCCACTAAAAACTTTGCTGCCCCTTCCTTATCAGCACTGGCAGCCTCACCATGCCTAATAACACTGAAAATGTCACTTCTTTTCTTAAATTTTTCGAACCAGCCTTTGCTGGCCCGAAAATCTTCAAATTCTGTGCCTGAAGAACCAGGTTGATCTGTCTTTAAATGCTCATAAATCTCCCTGGCTCTTGCACAAATGAATTCAGTAGAAACTGAATCACCTTTCATCTGTTTTTCCCTAATCCAGATGAGAAGTAACCTCTCAGTTTCTTCAATTAGGGATCTACTTTTAAACACTCTGGTAGATTTGTCTCTCACTTTCACTTCTTTAAATTTGTCTTTCTGTGCAAGAATTGTCGACACAGTTGATGTCGACATGCCATATTCGTTGCATAGCGCATTTGTTCTAATGCCTTCTTCATGTTTCTTAATAATTTCCTGCTTGGTTTGGATTGAAATCGCTTTTCTTGATCTCTTAGGCCCCATGCTGGATTCAAACAATGTCAACACGTGATCTTTTAAGTTTAAACTACTGTAGCTGTAAATAAAGAATATTTTCTTTAAAATAACACTTTATTGCACTCTATATTGTCAATATGTAAAATAAATTTCAAAATGACCAATAATTTGCTTGGAAACACACAAAAAAAGCGTTTAGTTGAAGAGTCTCAGGCAAGATGTTACCTCCACTGAAAACAGAGAGACTAACACTTGTTTGGTGTGTTAAAAGGCTGGATGGCGCTCAAGAAACTACCGGGGTAGTGACCTTACCTTCAATTATGTTAAATAATTGTTAAAATGACTAAGAAATTTAATTATAAACTTTAAAAATTATTTAATAGTATAAACTTCTTTATATTTACTAAAATAGTAAGGAATTGAAGCCCTAGAACTTATTACTGTATTGGCAGACTAATACTACAGCTGGTTGACCGCCAAGTGCAAGCGAAAACATGTTCAGGTCGGCTCATAAGAAACTCGTTAATCGAGGGATTGCTCTTTAACCGAAGTTAAGAATCTTGTGGGAGGTAACTCGTTAACCGAGGCGCTCGTTAACCGAGAGACCACTGTATATGGCATTTTGCAATTTCCATCGTCTGTGCTGTCAGATTGTTTCACATGAAATGTGTACAGACTCTTTTTGATCATATGTACATGCTAAACAGTGTGGACAAATTTAATATTGTCACCTCAGTGTTCTACAGTATTTGGATTGCTACCATTTATGTGTATATAATACTTTTAAGATAATTTGAAACATTATTGTTTTTCAGGGTGACGTGGAAAGATTGTCTAGGTTAAAAATACGAATTGAAGATCCTCCACGACGAAAGGACATGGTATTTATTGGAGGAGCCGTCTTAGCTGATGTAATGAAGGACAGAGACAACTTCTGGATTTCCAGAGAAGAGTATCAAGAGAAAGGAGTTCAAGCCGCTCTGGAAAAGCTCATGCCTGGTAGTGCCTCATAAGAGAGGCCATAATAGGGAGTAGTTGGATCTGTAATTGTTACCCCAAACTGTGGTTCTGTTTGGATTGGCTCTCTCAGTACCCAATCAATACTTTTGCTGACTCTCAGCTGAGGACAATTAGAATTCTTTGTAGGGTTACAGAGGACTATATTAATCCAAAGAGTTTATTTTCTATGGATGTGAGGAAGCATGTGATTATTTTTCTTGAGCCAAACTTTTCATGGAATTTGGCAGTTATTCAAGTTTAATTAAAAATTAAATACTGGTTAAAAAAACAGTAGTTTTATTAATGTATTGTTGTGGCTTTCGTGTTGTTCTAAAGTTTTATTAATTTATGGGATTAATTAATTTAAAGTACGTCAAGGTGCACCCAGTTATCATCAGTACTACGATTGTCATTCCTAGTCTTTTTGTCTTTACTTTCTGAAGTACATTTTAGTCATTACTGAAGTTTCCATTCAGTTGCACAATCATTAAGTGTACTATGACTGTGTTCTACACAATTTTAAACATATATTGTACATTGTTAAGAACTTAAGTCGGCTTTACAAAAGCTGTTTGTCATCAGGTCATTGTAGTACATTAGTTCACAGATGCCATGTGTCAGTTTTGTTATTTCATGTGATTTTTTTAATATAAACAGTACAGACTCTTATGATCTCCATCTTGATTAGAGCCCCTGCAGAATTCAGCAACATGTAGATATCCATCATCCACATATTCTGCATTTTGTAGAGGATAATGTTATTAATTTACCATACATTATAGTATTGAATAAAAGATTGTATATGATACGTCGAACAGTTCTACACTTACTCGGTAATTAATATAGAGTTAAGTGGAATAAAGGAAATAAGTATAATTAAGAAAACCAATGTTTACAGTCGTGGGATTTAAATGCTCCTCCCTTTTGAAGATGGTGGCTGTTCACTCACACTGCAAGCACACAATTTATAGTACTGTATAATATTCAGCAGTGAATTTATATCATGATAGTTAGTCAAACTCTCCTTCATCCTGATTAATTCCTGTTATTCAGTATCATGTCTCTATCACATTTGAAATATAAACTTGTTTCCACCACCACCACTGTCTAGGAAAGTGATGAAAGTTTACGTCTCCGCAACTGTAGCTTGAGTTTCTATAATAAAGATTATTTAATTATTATTATTATTACTACTTATATTTTACATTCAAGACTATGGTGGTTGTTTAAAATTTAATGCATTACAACTGATGTCGGGAAATTGTGAGTGCATTGTTGAATTATAATGAAGCTCTTCCATATTACTTTTAATTTTTTATTTGAACATCTCGGAAATTTGGATTAGAGAAAACTTGTGAGTACAGGTTGAACCTTTTTAATCTGCCACCCTCATGACCTGACTGGTGACAGAACATAGAAATTTCTGAACCATAGAAGTTGAGCTAAAGTCTGGTGATAAAATTTCTTTACTGATCTTGAAATAGAAAAACAGCACAGGTTAATAAAAGGCGAGACAGGTACAGCACTGTTCTATAAGTATAAATTGAAATATATTAATTGAACATCCTTGGAGGGAATATTAGTGTGTATAGGTCAAGTAAGCTTGGTGTGGCTTACATAACAGTACCATCACTTTCACCATTTGTTGGTTCTTCTGAAGATTTATAGATAAGTTATAACTGAGTGAAAACACAGCTGGACCACAGGGTGCCAGATTGGAAGGATTTGACCTGTAGCCAATGTTATCATGCCTTTATTACCAGCAAGTCTTCAGAGCATTTCACATAGTTTGTTGAAAACGTCATACTACTGTACAAGTTTAATGGCCTGCCAAGATTGTATCAAAGAAACAGTAATAATCTGGGCAGGGTTGTATTTGTTTCTTGTTTTCTTGTACAGTACCTACTAATATTTTTGCCTTGGGGGGTGTGGTGGCCAGATTTTCCCAAATGTATAACCTTGGCCTAAAATTATGAATTATATAATACTGTTCTTGAAAAGTACAGTCATCAGTCAACCATATTTTCCCTTTAAGAACAAATAAATTGTATTTTAACAAAACACATTGGAGATATGTACAGTAATGACAAACGACTGGTGTTGCATTCCATTGTTGTCTGCAGTATTTACAGGAGATAATACTGACATCTTCACCTATTGCCTGTAAGTCTTTCTTTATGAGGAAAAAATAGAAATCTGAAACCAGAATTCTTGTAAGTAGAAAAGATTAAACCATTTGTTAAATGAATATGGATGTGATTAATAAAGTTAAGCAGAAACAATATTTTAATATCCCTCTTAATTTTGTTCCATATTTTTTTAAGTGAGGCACACTGTTATTTGCTGTAAATTACTACATTAAAGTAAATTTATTATAAAAATAAAAATTACACGACTCAGTTGGCTGTATTAGCAGTCTACTGCATGCAGATGAGGTCCTGAGTGTAGGTATGGTCATCAAGAATGTAGGTGTGGTCAAGTGTGGTGCTGAGTGTAAGTGTGGCCCTGAGGGTAGGTGTGGTCCTCAAAGTATAGGTGTGGTCAAGTGTGGTGCTGAGTGTAAGTGTGGTCCTGAGGGTAGGTGTGGTCCTCAAAGTGTAGGTGTGGTCAAGTGTGGTCATCAAGAGTGTAGGACAAGGTTAAAAATATCACAAGATAAAAGTTTGGTTAAATTACCCGCGTCTTGATGCAGGTCCTCCCTCGTCAGCTGTTCGTGACGTCATCAACACAGCAAAGTGAAAATGGCTGCCACCTTACGATCCCTCACTCGTCTCGCCGGTTAGTACCTCTAATTATTACTTGCCACTTAATAAATCCTCCTGTTTACGGTGCTAACTGATCGAGAAAGAGATGAAAATTACATAAACTATATAAATCTGATGCTGGAGTGAAGGAAGCAGTATATATGTGTGTATTTATATGACACTGTGCATCAGCTGATCATGATATCCACCATCTCTTGATCCCTTAATGCACACACACATATACACATACATACATAGTCACCTACACCATTAACATCATTGGCTTTCCGTCTTTAATCGTAGTTAGAATGCAGTCATGATTAATATGGGACTAGGCCTATGTTTAGAGCAAGCGAGGCCTACCAGTATCGTGGAAAGTTTCATGATGTCTTCCAGTAAAATGTTCACATTATTAACTCTTCATTACTGGGAGACAAAAGTTCTCTCTAAAGTTTCGTAAAACTAACATTACCAAACTGTTCATAGCGGTCCGACTAATTACCCAAATGTAGCCGCAATGAAGTCAAATAATGGTCCTACATGAATAAATCGGACTGCTAATCACTTCTCGACTAGTATTTGGTGTCACAAAGTCACAAAAAATTGGAAAACTTAATTTAAACTGAGTTAATAGATCGCGTGCTTGTACCGAGGGAGCGAGTAATTACCCAAATGTACCCAAATGTAGTTGCAGTAAATCACGTAAATTGGGCTGTGAATCACTTCTCGATTATTATTTGGTGTCATAAAGTCACAAAAAATTGGTAAACTTAATTTAATCTGAGTTGTGTTAGGTTAGGTTAGGTTAGGTACATGCACTCAATCGATTAACTCGGATTAAATTAAGTTTACCAATTTTTTGTGACTTCGTGACACCAAATACTAGTCGAGAAGTGATTGGCAGTCCGATTTATTCATGTAGGACCATCATTTGACTTCATTGCGGCTACATTTGGGTACATTTGGGTAATTAGTCGGACCCGTTCATAGACCACCAGGCAACTGCTCACTCGTCACTACTGTACAAATTTTTACTTCAACATTCACTAAAACATTTATTGCAGAAACATACAAAACACCTGATAAAGTTCATTTGAACCTATTATCATAATTTAAAGTTTACAGAGCCTCAGAATACCATAGTACAGTATTATTAATGGTTGATATATTTATACTGTATTGGTTGTATCCTGTGTTTATGGTGTGTCTGGTAACTTGTTCCACTCACCGTAACTCTCTTGATGAATCTGTGCTACTACAGTATAGCATCTGGTCTACAAGATATTTAGGATGGTTAGGTCAGGTCAGGTCAGGTCAGGTCAGGTTAGGTCAGGTTAGGTTAGGTTAGGTTAAATCACTTAACCAAACCAAAGGCTAACCTAAGATTTTTAGATAACAACATTAAGTTTGGCTTGGTTGGTGTGAGAAGTTAACTTTCTATCATACTTGATATCCTTCAACTTAAAAGAAAATATTGAACATAAAAACTAATCAAGATTACTGGGTACAGTACTTGCTTAAAAAAAATAGCAAAAATACTTGGGTTTGTTTAAGAAATCCACCAAATATTAAATTTAAATTATTATTACAAAATCAATATGGCAAACATTGTTTTTGTAGCGTTCATTACCAAAATCATTGGACCTGAAGTAAATATTGTGGCGACTAAAAGAAACATTAAATTAATCAATCATATTTCTTATCGCTGCAGTATGTTGTTGTACCATGAAGTGGTATTATACTTGGCCCAAGATAAATCTGTCAGTCTTGGGCAGCATGCCAGTATGTTTTTGATAGATGTTGAAATTGTTCCAAGTATTAGACAGTGAAAACCATTATTACCAAGAGTTACCCTAAGAATGCAGATAGAAATGTCTGTGTCTGGTACATAAGAATATACTGATGGTACTCGATTCACTCTCATGCTCACACGATAAGGCATCCCAAAGAAAGACATTTATAGCACCAGCCACCAGACTGGCCTCTGCACCAACTACCTGTACTGGTCAGTATGATACCTGGTCTGGTGGGCGTGCATTGGATGGTAAACACCCATAGCTATTACAAGAAATGTATTCTTACCCACATGCTCCCTCACTCTATAAGCAGACCTTGATTTACAGTGCTTTGTTTAGCGCTGCTTTGTTGTAAAACTTTCTCCTGTTACATAATTTTTCCCTAAAAGAAAATTTTTGAAGGAACCAGTTAGTCTTCTGTCTGAGACGATCAGACTTCCCAGGCAGGTCCATGCCCTCTTGTGTGAGGCGGTTGTGTCTCAGGTAGTGCAAGAGGGCAATAACTGAATTAAGTTTTGACATTTTAAGAGAAGAGTATTTCGTTTTTATTTGATAACATTATTATCAGCTGTGCCATTTGTTAAGCAAAGTGCCTCCAGGTCCACCATCTTAAGGGTAATTTCTGCATACTGTATGTGTTTCTTATGATGAAGCTCTCCTGATCCATCCTGGCTGTGCATATTGCTGGAGCTCTCAGTGTTGGGGTAGGTGCTCTGTTGAGGAATAAGGTGATCCCTTCTTAATGGGTGTTGCTCCAAGACTCACTCTCTTGGAGTCTGTATAATGATGGATTTATTTGGGATGTATTATTATGGTAATCTCCTCATTTGTAACTTCCATTCCACAGGAGGGTTTGGTGGGATCAGGATTATTTATTCCATTCAGTTGCTTCTTAGCTGTAGGCCATATCTAAGGTAAGGTAATTAAAGAGATTATTAAACAGAAATGGCTCATTTTATAACATTAGGGGGGGGGGGATATGGTGTCCTCTCCTTCAGCTTTGTTTAGTTTCTGTTCAGATTGATTTTTCCTTCTTTGATTTAGAGGAATCATAGAGGTATGGTTTTGTGACCTTGTCCACAGTTTTAAAAGTGGATGTGTGTATTTTGAACCTTTCACTAGTTCTAATGATGAAATTTTTAATTTATTTTTTCTAGATGTGGAATTTCTTAGATTTGCAGATTGGTAATGTCTTCTACCATTTAATACTTTTATTTGACTATTTCTGTGATGGCTCTGTGCCTTACATTCTCTGGTCCTTGAGTTGTTTCGTCCTCTATAGAAGATCTGGGCAACATTGGGAGCTGTATAGAGAGGTAAAACTGAAGTGTTCTCTTTCAATTTGTTCTCCCCCTTGTTGGCTTTTGTATTAGACAGGCTGAACTTCTTCCTGGCCTCCTCCCTGTAGTCTTATGCAGGGGAGTGTCTTGCCTTATAACTCAGCCTGGGTAGGAGTCATGTATGGTGACCACAATACATCAGCTTGTAATCTCTGGGCAGTTGCAGCTTCTTAAGTGTACCACCATCTAAGGTTTAGGGTTGTTGTGGAGGCTTGGTTTCAGATTAACCCAGTCGTTGTGAGTTAGGGCATCCCTGGGTTCCTGAGTCACCCAAGCCATGAGCAGACATGATCACAAGTCATTCTGTCCAGGCTTGGTCATCAACATTAATATCAGGATCAATCTCATGTATATTTCTCCATCATTACAGTACTTGAGAATATTCATTGTTGACATTTTCTTTTCTCTTTTACAGGTGTGGCCCCAATTGGCACAAGGTCGTGCTATGCTGTGTCACGGCCAAACCTGGCAATTAATGAGCACACAAAAGTAATCTGTCAGGGTTTCACGGGCAAACAGGGAACTTTCCACTCACGCCAAGCAATTGAATATGGCACCCTCATGGTGGGGGGTGTGTCACCAGGCAAAGGTGGCAAGAAACATCTCAATCTACCTGTGTTTAATAGTGTTGCTGAGGCAAAGGCTAACACCGGTGAGTCAATTGAATTTTCTACTCTTTTTTTTTCAGTTCAAATGTTGTATCAGATTATATAAAAAATAACACTACACTACAGTAGTCATTTGCACAAGGTGCCACTTATCATAATACAGCGCCCCAACCTGCTGTTTTGTCAGTATTATAGTTATTGAATAGTGATATATACTGTGCTGAATTTGGGGACGTTTTTGATGATACAGTATTTGAATAAGGCAAATTGCTCATATTTTTGTAAATACTTCTACAATAAAATCTGCAGTCACAGGGTATGGTAAGTATATGGTTATGACAAAGACTGTTACAGCTGTTGGTTGAAATAGATACATTAAGGATTGTTGTGTGTAAATGTCTAAATACAAGAATTTAAGATGTAGGGTGATCACCTTACAATGAAAATAACTATGTTATATAAATATTAAAAAAGATAATACTGGTTAAGTCCTATTTTCTAGCTTCTCCTTACTACACTAGGTGGCTCATTCAATAGCCCTTACCTTGTTTGGGATATTTAGGCAGCCAGGCAGATTGTTTAATTTTAAATAACTCGATTGCATAGTCCTCTAATATACAGTACAGTTATATCTTATGGTTATATTTCATGATGTTTTGTTGACCCTTCCAAGTCTTGAGTTTGTAATTATGCTATGGTGGCTGACTTCTGTCCTTGATCCTAGACTGCTGACCTTACCTTGACATGAATGTACCTCAGTCCATACAGTTGTGGTTGTTTGTTTGCAAGGCTCTGGCTGTACTGTACTCCATCACAAGTTGATGATGATGCAACAGGTTATGTACAGGCTTGAGTAGGCTGAAAGAAGAATGGTGAGGTAGATGTATAATGTGACACTGAAAGATGGGAAACCCTGTTTAGAGTTGAGAGGATGGCTGGGTATTGAGAGCACTGTATTGATGAAGTTTTGCGAAGAGGTTGACGAAAATGGTGAACACGAGGAGAGAAGGGAGGATGGTTGGTTGGTTGGTTTACCCAAAAGAGGCCAATGGATCATCCCTGGTTAGGTTAGGGGGTTGTGTGGAAGGCATGACACCCAGTAAGCACCCTTTATCACAAGAGCTGCCTGGTTACTGCAGCTTTGCCAGAAACTAGGTTTTTAGAGTCAGTCTTATATAATTTTTTTTCTTGGGTGAGATTTTGTCTCAGTTTATAATTTCTTTTTCTTCATTCACATTTCTGGAACTTTTAGATATGACTAAAAAGTGAGAACTAACGGGACTGTTTATGGCAGGTGCTGATGCTTCTGTAATCTACGTTCCCCCTCCTGGTGCTGCTAAGGCAATTTTAGAAGCTGTGGAGGCAGAGATTGGACTAATTGTATGCATCACAGAAGGTATTCCACAGCAGGACATGGTCAAGGTTAAACATGCTCTTCTCCGCCAAGAAAAGAGCCGCCTGATTGGTCCCAACTGCCCAGGTATCATTGCTCCAGAGAAGGTACGTTGCTTTAAAATTTTACATAACTTAATTATACCACTGACTTATTTCATTATTCTCTAACACTCACAATGTTGTTAAGTCTACAAATAAGTTTTTAATGTGTCATCATTCTAATACAGTCACCATATCACTTACTCCTTAACTCACAGGAAGTCAAATGACACCACCACCAAACAAAGTCTTGGACCCAGATGCCTGATTGTCCAATTTTCCCCATTTACTCATGTTATATGTGGAAAATTAAATAAAAGAATTGATTTTGTACAGTATTCTTAAATTTCATATGTTGATTATGTACAATAAAGATATAAAAGTTGTAATAGAAAGTGTGGAATTTGGAAAGGAGGAAATGTGTGGAGGTGTGGATATTGTTGGCAGTGCACGAGGGCGTCAGTTGACTCAATTGAGACACTAGGTAGCTGGTAATTAAACATGTTGCATCTCTTTGTGTGCTGAAATTGTTTCTCCAGTAACTTTTAAGCCACCACTTTTTAAACTTTTGTTCCTCATAGAGACTTTATTACATTTTTCATAGAATTTACACACACACACACACACTGCATTTCCTTTTAGCATGGTTAAGCTCAGTTTTATTACTTCTGTGTTTGTTTAAGGGCATTGTGAAATGAAAATAAAATCAATATTAAAAGAGTACACCCGCTGAGAAGCTGAATCAGTGTCCTTCATAGCTCAAGATGTCTTTGATAGCAACCTTTATACCATATAAACAAAGCGAGAATGTAGGATGATGCACTAACTCATCTGGGGTTGAGTGTGGGATCCCCCCCCTCCATAGAGACTGCATCTCTAAATATATACAGTAATAGGAGTCAATGTATTACTACAACAATATAAATTGGGTACTGCCTGTATTACATACTGTAAGAAACGAGCTCTATTTGACAGTTGCTGTCAACACTTAACCTTGCATCAGTCTCAACATTATTTCCTCCCCGTTATAGGATGACTGTACCACGCACTACTGTACAGTAGTTGGAGAGGAATATTGTACTGTATTGACAATGCATCAAATTATATTACATACTGTATAAGAAAGGGAAGTTTTCTTTATTCATCTATTTCCCCCCCCACTAACGATGTTCATATTTTGTTTTGTACATTCCACAGTGTAAAATTGGTATCATGCCAGGACACATTCACAAAAAGGGTTGTATTGGCATTGTGTCACGGTCGGGAACCTTGACTTACGAAGCTGTACATCAGACCACCCAAGTCGGCCTTGGCCAGACACTCTGTGTGGGCATTGGTGGAGATCCATTCAATGGTACAAACTTCGTTGACTGCCTTGAAACTTTCCTTCGGGTTAGTATACTTTTTAATGTTTTATTTATATTTAGTCTAGGAAACTAATTTGAGTTGAGCATTAACTTTTGGCTTTGAGATTTTAAAGTTACCATTAACTAATTAAATTTGATATTTAAATAAAAGTAAAATTTTGATATGGCTAAGTAACATAATATACAAGTTGCATAAACAATATACAGTATGGTAATTTATGAGTAATGTTTCCAGCTTTTGTTAACTATGAAGTGTGTGACATGATGTTGTGATCATACAAAGAAATTAATGTATTATCTGGTAACATGTTGGCCTTGAAAATACCTTCACTGTAGGTTATCCCAATCCTAAAAATTGAAAATATAATATTGACTTTGTTCATATTATAACTGTGTTGTATACTGGTACAGTACTACAGGTTGTACCTCTCCAGTCCGGCATTCTGTGGTCGGAGCAGTTTTGGATTTGTCAATAGGTAGATAGGCAGCTTTTTTTTTTTTTTTTTACTTATCTGAATTATTATTATTATTACGAGTATTAAATTTTTGCCCTCAGGCCCCAATGTGGGTCAGTGACCTGGCGGGCTCATCGTAAAAAAACAAAAGCAGTAAGGTTTGTTTACATCCGGCAGTTCACTCTCTCTCTCTCTCTCTCTCTCTCTCTCTCTCTCTCTCTCTCTCTCTCTCTCTCTCTCTCTCTCTCTCTCTCTCTCTCTCTCTCTCTCTCTCTCTCTCTCTCTCTCTCTCTCTCTCTCTCTCTCTCTCTCTCTCTCTCTCTCTCTCTCTCTCTCTCTCTCTCTCTCTCTCTCTCTCTCTCTCTCTCTCTCTCTCTCTCTCTCTCTCTCTCTCTCTCTCTCTCTCTCTCTCTCTCTCTCTCTCTCTCTCTCTCTCTCTCTCTCTCTCTCTCTCTCTCTCTCTCTCTCTCTCTCTCTCTCTCTCTCTCTCTCTCTCTCTCTCTCTCTCTCTCTCTCTCTCTCTCTCTCTCTCTCTCTCTCTCTCTCTCTCTCTCTCTCTCTCTCTCTCTCTCTCTCTCTCTCTCTCTCTCTCTCTCTCTCTCTCTCTCTCTCTCTCTCTCTCTCTCTCTCTCTCTCTCTCTCTCTCTCTCTCTCTCTCTCTCTCTCTCTCTCTCTCTCTCTCTCTCTCTCTCTCTCTCTCTCTCTCTCTCTCTCTCTCTCTCTCTCTCTCTCTCTCTCTCTCTCTCTCTCTCTCTCTCTCTCTCTCTCTCTCTCTCTCTCTCTCTCTCTCTCTCTCTCTCTCTCTCTCTCTCTCTCTCTCTCTCTCTCTCTCTCTCTCTCTCTCTCTCTCTCTCTCTCTCTCTCTCTCTCTCTCTCTCTCTCTCTCTCTCTCTCTCTCTCTCTCTCTCTCTCTCTCTCTCTCTCTCTCTCTCTCTCTCTCTCTCTCTCTCTCTCTCTCTCTCTCTCTCTCTCTCTCTCTCTCTCTCTCTCTCTCTCTCTCTCTCTCTCTCTCTCTCTCTCTCTCTCTCTCTCTCTCTCTCTCTCTCTCTCTCTCTCTCTCTCTCTCTCTCTCTCTCTCTCTCTCTCTCTCTCTCTCTCTCTCAGGTACAACATTTAACCCTTCAATATATATGAGCAGGTAAATAAATGTTGCTTTCATATTCTTATGTAAAGTAATGACGATATGTTTTCACGTGTGCGCATGCGCACTTACATACGCGATCTCTCTTTTTTCTTTACCATTATCGTTAGCTACTTCTATTGTTCCATTTATTAACATTAAATAACATAACTTAAAACAACCATATTAATTTTACTACAGCTACAACCAAGGTCTTATTTTCTTCAGTTTTATATGTAGAACCAGTCAGTCACTGGCTTTGTAATCAACGAAAACAATGCTGTGTCATTTCCTCGTGTGTTTTAATATTCTACGTATTATTAATGAATTGTATTGCTCATTTTGCACACATAAACATTAATTCAATAAAAAAGACATTCAGTAATAAACAATAATGAATCTTTTGTACATAAGAGAAATGACGCTGTTTACACGATTATGCACGTTGGCGGGCCGTTCAAACCCGTCGAAATTCAAGTTTCCGCCGTCAAAATTTGTATTAATTTTTTTTTGTGTGTGTGTTCCAATAAAATATGTTGAATTAAAAACTCGCGAAATTTGAGAAGCTACTATACGACATTTAACCCTTCAATATGTCTTCAAAGAGACCATGATGCAGAGAAAGTGGTGCTAGTGCTTCCAAGCATAAGTCACTATCTATCCAGGAAAAGGGTGAATTTCCATGATCCGGCACCGGTCAGGTCCCGAGGTTGCCGGACTAGAGAGGTACAACCTGTAATTAAGTTGAAGAGAAAGGAAACATATTTCGCCCAATCATTTGAATTTGTAATATTTTTGTATGTTACAGTTAAAGGCTTTACATCCGGGTACTGTATTGTTAAACTATTTTGTTTCTAGGCTGTGCTGTAAATGTCATTACTATTTGATAAGTTAAAAAGTATCCAGTACTTCCATTATTTTGTTTTGAGAAAATGATCACATTCACTGTGTATGATTATTGTACTGTACAGTATATTGTGTTGAGCAATAGTTAAAGCACTTGCTATTTGCAGTTATTTACTTTATATCTGTAAGTACAGAATGAGATGTTTGATTTTTAAAGCAGTTTACATTAACTCTTTCCAGTGCCCTGACACCAAGGGAATCATTGTCATTGGTGAAATTGGAGGAGGTGCAGAGGAAGCAGCTGCCGAATACCTAAAAACTCACAATACTGTAAGTGTTTGTAAGCTTGTTTTTTTTTTTTTTTTTTTTTTTTAGATTTTTCTTCTCCAAATTGTTGCTTCCATCCACAAAATCTCAAACATAGGAACTCCTCTTCTAGGTGGCCAGATATTCTTTCACTGGACACCCTTGATCATCAACATGCAACTCTAACACATCATCCACAAAGTGCCAGATGTCCCCCTGCCAAATAAATTATCATACAAAAAGTGCCCCCCTCCCCCAAAAGACCTTACAATGATTTATTTTTATTCTTTTATTCATAGCTGATGCATCAGTCTTGGACCTCATTCAATACTCTTTAAAGAAACTTAACCTTCCCCTCTCCCCTGTTTTCAAATTTCAGAATTAAAACAAGATGTTAATAAAAAATCAATGACATTATGAACACTAACAAGGCTCAGGACCAAAGATGAGTTTCAACTGGTGTCAAGAAGTACTTTACTGAGCTGCTACCTCATCCAACCCTAAAGAAAAGTGATTGATTCAACCCTTCTAATTATTACCCAAAGATTTATCCAACAGTAATCAGTGTTCATATTATCGAACAGCTTGAAAATATCCAGATATATGGTTTCTGTATTGGGTGTTCTGCTGCTGATCATCTCCTCACTCATACAACCCATCCATCAGTGAGACTAAACTGATCAAACCCATACAATACAGTAGCCCTTGATACCCCCAGAACACTTACATCTAAATTGCCAGAATAACATGAATAAACTGTATTGCAAAGAAAAAACTATTATTAGATGTTAAATCCTATTTCCCCCTCGCTTACAGGACACTTATGGAAAATATTAGATAAACCAGTGACAAAGAGTGTTGATTGAGATCTCTTCACAACTACTGTTTGTTATAACACAGGCGATACACATCATATACAGTAACAGTTTCATTTTAACCTATTTAAGAATGTATGTAATAAAGGGTAATTAATGGTTGATAAATGTACTGAAGAGTTTTAGGTTAAATTTAGCAGCTGCATTTACCGGTCTTGACAGAGAGACATTTCTCACCACTCGCTTCTGAGAGTCAGGTGTCACAACAGGCGCTGGCCTAACTTGGCAGTTTGTCATAATTGCTCCACAGTTATAAAGACAACTTGCTTTTTTTTTATATATGGTATGACAGTATCTTTTTCATTTCCTTCTTTACTTGCATAAATTCCTTAGTATGTGGGTGTGTAGCTTAGTGGTAGGTTAGCTTGGTTCAGCTATAATCTTTGCGTTTGTTACTATGTACTGTACGTATTGTCATGTCATGGCTTCACTCTCAGTGTAATACTGTGTTGTATAATAGGCTGTGACTTTTTAATTTTCTCAACTTTATTAATTTTTAAATGAATTTCAGCATTATGCTTTCAAAGTCACTTTCAAAAGCATTTTTTAGAACAGCAGAAATTAATTACATTCTCAGACAGTTACAGAATGAATGACTGAGAAAGAATGTGTTGTTAATTTTGGCCACACTGGACCAAAGACCAAAGTGTGGAAGGGCTTGAAAGAGTGCAGGTCAGGGGATAATTGTTGAGTATTTCGAGTTTGTAAATATACCAAAGATTTGTATGTGTAAACAATAAACTGTATTAACTTAATATCTTTCTTTCAGGGCGATGGTGCCAAACCCGTTGTATCATTCATTGCCGGCCTAACTGCTCCCCCTGGTCGTCGTATGGGACACGCCGGTGCCATTATTTCTGGTGGCAAGGGTGGAGCTGAGGATAAGATTAAAGCACTTGAGAATGTAAGTCAGGGTTTTAAAGAGTTATGCCATACCACAATATTACTGTCACAGCCTCTTTGAGCCTTCTACCTAAACATGCAGTACTATAGTGAAATCTGTGTGTGATGCAGTGGTTTGATATATATATTCAGGGGAGTTTGTGTTTGTGGTCCAAGTTCCTGGTGTGAACTTTCAAGACCCTTCTTTATCTTTTTGCAGGCTGGTGTTATTGTGTCCAGGAGTCCAGCACAGATGGGTAGTATGCTGCTGGAGGAGATGAAGCGGATGCATTTAGTTGCATAAGATGCTGAGGAAGAATGGACGTTCCATAGCGTTTCTGGGTACATTGCCTGGATTTTCCAAAAAACAAACAAATTCAAAGCTTCTGGATGCCCTGTGGTCAAGCTCCACCTATGACTTTGATGTCTTCAATAATTTTGATTACATCAGGAGCTGTGGTTGAATGGGACGCATGCTTTCATGTGACCATTGGTTGTAGAGATTTGGCTTGGATTGGTTGTTTTGTGCTTATTCATCTGTAAAGTTGACTTGGAACAATGGTGAGAACAAGCAGTATATCTGTGCGTACTTATTTTCATATTTGACTTTAATTTACAAAAGGAAACTGTCATTCATCTTTGGATGTATTTAATGCAGTACAATACATTTAAGTGTAAATTATACATTTTGGATGTGTTGCAGTCAGAGAAGTTATTTTTGAATGCAGCTTTGTGAAACATTTTTCTCCTGGGTACAGTACTATTAATTTATAATTTAATATATTTGATTTTACAAAATGAACTAACCAGTGGTAAATTATCATTGTTAATTCCAAATATTGCTACCTATGTTGAAAATCATGTAAATATGTTAAAGATTTTTATCGGGAACTGTACTTTATTCTTTTAAAAATAGTTAAGAATATAAAGTACATGTTCATATAATTGTTTTTTTATTTTTCCTATCATAATTAATTTTATTTGCAAAAGAGAGGCAAAGAAATTACAGGTAATGTGCACTGATAATTACCTATGGAGAATGAGAATTAAATCAAAGGGGTAAAGATGGATATGTACAGGGACTTTGTTGGGCTAAATTTGTTACTCGGGTGTGAAGCATCAACACGATGTACAGGTATGAGGAAGCAACAAATTGGAGGCAAGAAAAATTTGGATAAACAGGATGTTGAGAATAAGAGGGAAATGAAAGAAATGTTAGAGAGAGGGTAGTGTGGACGTACCTGTATTGGGAAACTGACAAATGATAGATTGGTGACGAGTGTATCGGAGGTGGATGATAGGGTAAAGGATGCACAGGAGGAGAGGGAGATGGCCTTCCAGGATGCTGCAATGTATGTGTGAATGAGCAAAGAGTATTGTGTCAGTGATGTTTGGAGCTGTTGATAAGCCAATTACAGTAAATAATGAAATAAGTTAAATTTAAAAAAAAAATTAATTTTCCATCTTGTCGTTCATGATTACTCTTACCTTTCTTGTAATACTGTATGTGAAGGTTTTTGTAGATTTTATCAACTGACACTTTTGGGTAATGAACAGATAATTCATCAAATAACCTAGTTATTTATTTACACATTTAAAATAAAGAATTAACCCCCTCTTGCATTGGGGCCACCACAAAGTGTAAATCAAAGAATTATGTCTGTCACCTCAGTCCCTTGAGTAGGGGACCATCTGTAGTGATGTGTGTAGCTCAGCAGGAGGCACGAGCTGCAGTAAAGGCCAAAGTTCAACAAGTGGGTGTAGTCCGTAGATAATTGTTAGTTGCAGGAATGGTCGGAGCTAAACGATGTTGACACTCGAAACATGGCAGCCAGCGGCAGTGATGACTGAAGCGGAGCGTTGATGATGGAGAAGTTAGTACTGTATTATCATGCTGAGAGTGGCCGAGTAAAGCAGGTAAAGCATAGGACTCATCAGTAACTTTAATTTTCATTTACACTACTTTAGTTTCTCGACTTAATAAATAATTAGATCACATAGAATATATATTCAGGAATGTAAGTTCTTAAAGGTTGTGAACTCATAACAGTAAAGTGATGAAAACTCAAGGAAAACTATTCATGAAAGTACTCTTCTTGTCTTACTTTGTTCTCAAGGGACTGCTGGGTAACCTGTTTGACTCTCGCTATTATTGTTACATCTATATTCCTGGTTGTATCTCCTGTCTGAACTCCCATCATGTTCCTCAAACCATCTATATCCTGCACCAACACCTCAGTTTTACACCCATATGAAAGAGCAGGCACACAACACTTAAGACCTCCCATTTATTACTACTTTCATATCATCAACTGTTCTTCACTGCCTCTACTCTATTGACAAGCTTACCTATACAGTATACTCTCTCTCTCTCTCTCCCCCCCCCAGTTATACATTGCTGCCAGACTCATTCACAACCTCCAGCTCTACCAGGAATTTTTGTGCCCTTTGATCTTACTGACAATTTTTTCACATTTTTCTGGTATCAACATACAGTAAGTGTGACAACTTCTAGTCTGTCATCACATTTGTTTCGTTCAAGAGTCGCCCATTCTTACATTCATTTCAAAGGATGATCCATCCATTAAGACTTTACATAACTAAGATGAGGATAAAATTACACTATCAAAATAAAGAATTGTATTAAATCCTCCAGTACAGTATATACCTGTACAGTATATACCCCATTATCTTAGGTGTGATTCTGTTCTTCAACCAGGTGTGTCATATTACCTAGGAGATAAGAATGCTTTATTACCTCATTATCTCCTGGCCTTAGTAGGATAGTCGGGTCTTGTAAATTTATAAGCAGATAAGATAGTACATTCAAGTATAGTACTGTACACACACCACTTGAACCACAGAGAATACAAGCGGACAGAACCTTAGTATGTGTGTGAGAATCTACTGAAGGGATCACAAGTAAATGTTATAGTACTGTAATAAAAAATTTTTTATTGTTAGACTTGTAGGTGAAGGCAGAAGGGGATGTCGGTTGTTATCCATCTGTCCATCCTTCCATTCATCTGTCTGTCTGTCCTTCCAATCATCTGCCCAACCTCCTATCATAAATTTTTGGGTAAAATCTCCTGAAGCTGACAAGAGATCCTTTAACATTTCACAATCCGTTTTATTCCTAATTTCCCTGAATAATTTAGCATCGTCTGCAAATATTTGAATGAAGGAGTGTATAGTTTCTGGCATAACATTTACGAAATACCAGAAGCTATACATAAGTCAACACATGTTGAAATCATTCAAATCACAGTGGTTGAGGTATTACAGATCCCGTACTGTACATTTTTACCAAACTGATGACAACACTCACATTTCATTTACCAAAAAGTTAGACCATCTTCAGTTGCCTAGTTTATAGTATAGAAGGACAAGGGGGTTTAATATGTTCATAAACACATCAAATGTCATTACTCAGTCAAATGTAGTCCCCCAAAAAGTATCATTACTCATGGGGTCAATATGGCTCGTGGTTTAGCGAGTCCTTTGTTTTGGAACGGTTGGCACAGTTAACTATAGGTACATTGCATGTATTAGTATACATCATTACTTACTATGTGGTACAATTATCTGGTAATAATTCCATACAGAGAGCTGCTAGACTTTCAAAATGACCTGTAATTTAAGTTTCACTCCAGATATTTTTTAAATATACATTTGTTAACGATATGGGGGGCAGGTATACCAACATATGACAATGCACAGGAAAAACACAGCCTCATGTTAAAGAAGCTATTTCTACAGAATACTGTCAGATTTAACTTCACAAACCTGCCAGAAAATGTAAAATCCATCCTTGACCAAAAAAAAAAAGGGGGGGGGGAGTGGCTGGTAGTGTTCAGGTACATTCAGCTTTTCCTTCAAATGTCTGTACATGTCTTGAATTTGTCAACAGTGTGTAGCAGAATTGACCGCCCAGAGAATGGAGTCTGACAGGAGGATAAAGTAAGAAACTTCATCTGGATATCTGTAAGTTTGCTGTGCTCACTGTCAACACTCAACAAATGTCTGCCAGAATCATTAACAACATCTCTTATCCATTGTTTTAGCGATCAAAGTAAGAATTCTCTAATGTATACATACAATACTTCAGACAATGTAAACGGTATATCATGTATATAAACAATGCAGGTATAGTGTATATAGACAGTGTAGGTATATAAACTATGGGCAGTTCAACCAAGGACAGTCAACAAAGCCTTCAGATGTTTCGTGTGATACACCAATTCTGTACTATCCACTTCCACAACCTCATGCTACCCACATTCATTCCTTCATGTTATCCCACATCCACACCCATTATTCCTTCATATTTCACATCCAGTCCATACCCACATCCACTCCATACTACCCACATCCACACCATACTACCCACATCCACACCATACTCCCCACATTCACACCATACTCCCCACATTCACACCATACTACCCACATCCACACCATACTCCCCACATTCACACCATACTATCCACATCCACACCATACTCCCCACATTCACACCATACTATCCATATTCACTCCTTTATGCCACTACACAACACATATACAGTACAGTAATTAAATTTACAGTATATAATTATAAAGAACACATACACACAAGGTACAGTTGACATTGTTTTCTCTATTCTCAGGGCGAGTATTAATTTTTGATGAAGGTTGACTGTGTGTGTCCTCCCTTCAGGCACTTGCGTCCTAAATGACATGAGTCAAGATTCAAGAAGGCAAGCATGAACTCCGCATTTGCGCTTCGACTTACACAGGATGCAAGAGGGTGCCCAATCAACTGCCATCTTAGCTTACGACTTTTGTAGAATCTGGAATCATTTTTCATTTCTTGTTTCATGTACTGTATATGGAATTATCCTCTCACTCTCAAGAACATTAAAGTCGTAAATTTACACTCGGGAAATGACGTTTCCATCATATATGTCATCGCAAGATTTATTGTGTCAGAGGTCTGTTGATAGCTTATCTAGTTATCTTATGTGGAAATATTTCTCCTAGATTGTCTCACATCACTGGAGATCCGGGTGTGAGCTGCACTTTTCTAGGCTGCGCACCCGTCAACATTACCATTACTATAAAAAACAGTGCTCTGAACTGTTAAGCTTATTCAGTCAGGACAATTAATTAAAAAACTGCGACCGGCGACCATAATGTTTGTACCGCAGTTAAATCCCTGTACTGTATAACATATATACATGTATTCCTTAAGACAGGCATCAACTAGTTCTAGACTCATTTAATATTACTGACAAAAAATCGGTTTTGGAGCCTTCTGAACTTTTGTACGAGTGACCGGAAGTAGTTCACTGTTGGCATTCTAGATCAGTTAAGAGACGTTATAATGTTATTACAACGTTTTAACAATTAAGGTCACTAAACGGATAACAAAGACTTAAAAATTACACTAGGCCATCAACAATAAAAAATACGATATTTTGAGAGCTTCTACAGGGAAAGATTAGGTGTAAAAGTTTAAATCCTCATGAATTATATTTTATTGTCGTGTCATGACGTGTATGACGTAAGTTGTTGAAAAAATGACATTACTGTACTTGTAATATTTACGTGACTATTATTATTATTATTATCACTATTATTATTTTTATTATTATTATTATTATTTTAGGTTTGGTTAGGTTAGGTTAACGTCACAGCTCATTAGCACACTGTAATATGATCACTCGAGGGCGCGGAATGAATGTCGGCGAAGGGCACCATGTAATATATTAACAGAGAGAAAGAACATGTAAATATTATATTGTATACAATATTAACACCATTTGTGTTACGTTACCTTTAGAGCAGATAGGATAGGTTAGAATAGGCTAGGTTAGGTAAAATTAAATTGCATTAGGTTAGGTTAGGTGACATTGGGTTAGATTAAGTTACTTCTGGTCTGGTTATTGTCGATTAGAGATATTTATCACAGTTGTTTTGATCAAGTTAAGAGAGCAGTATTGGTGGTGAGGTTAAGGTGTAGTGTTGGAGGCGGTGAGGGTGGGTGGGGGGGATATGAGTAGTCAGCTGTGAACATAACCTGACACAACCAAGGTGCGTGACGTCATACAGCCGGGTAACATAACCCCTTCCACCACCCTCTGGGACCTACGCTTATTTTGTGATCTAGTTTTATGTACAGTATCTTGTAGTTGTACTCGGAAGATGATACTACTTATTTAACCTTATTTGTATTATACGGCTCACACGGTCTAATATTTTTATTATATCTGAGGTTACTAATAATACTTTACTTGATTTTTTTAAGATATGGATTTATATTATATGGATTTATTAGCGGTATGTATTTTGAGTATTTTATCTTTATAGTAGTTCAGGTTCAGGTATAATACTTTAGTTAAGAGTCTATAGAAATTCTCTGAGGTGGAATAGACAGAGTTAAAGTGTCCTCCCAGCAGCAGTTTAGTGAAGATTGCAGCATTAAGTGATGGTGGGGTTGTGGCTGGGCACGTTGTTGTGGTGGTATCAGCATTATCACCGTTGACTCCACTTTATCAACTGATAGCGCAGCAGTCGTTACAACCTGGGGGCGCTCAGTCAGTTGGTGTTCCTGTCAGGCCGCGCTGTGTTTCACCCTCACACCCAGCATATATATGTTTATATGTGTGTAATAGATAATTTATTACTCTGATATATTACCAGAGAGTGGTGGTGTGGAAGATGATGGTTGGTGCGCGGGTGTTGTTGGTGGTGATGGCGTTGTGGATCAGGCAGGCGGTAGCTACACAGGGTATTAGCCTGACCAACGGCGCCTATTCCGGGGTGGTGGTGGCCCTTAGGGATGACCTTAACCCTACTTTGTGTGCTCAATACGTGCAGAACATCAAGGTGAGTCATGTACCTTGCCTCTGTAATTACTGTACTCTCTTCCCTAGAACCTAACTTAACCCAACCTTCCCTTCGCATAACATAACTTACCCCTAACCTAACCTTACCTTCTCTATCCTTAACTTATCCAGGTTTAATATAACCAACCCTATCCCTAGCCCATCCCATCTCCAGCTTACCCAATTATCCATATCTCTACCAGTAACTTATCCCGACATCGCATACCTATCCCAGACTGAAACTTACGTGCTACTAAACAAACTTGGTATTTATAATATGAAACCGGGCCTGGGGACTTGCTTGCCCATGTGTCTGAAAGAGTTTAAATTAGCGCGTAACATTGTGAATCTTTACGGTTGCACAATGGTAAACACAAACAGAACAAAGTCAGTGGGCACGAACAAGGTGTTTTTTGGTGTGGGTTCGGTTTATGAATTGGTTGGATTATTTTACGAGTATATTAAACATCACTGGAGGGTTGATGGGTGGGTTAGATTAGCCAGTCAATAATTAGCGTATTTAAGTTAAGTTTGTAAGATTAGGATAAGTGTGTCGTCGGATAGGTTAAATTAGGTTTGGTTAGGTTACTGTAGGATAGGTGTATTAGGCTAAATTAGCTTTAGTTTACTTAGGTTAGGATTCGGGTGTACAGTATTAGCCTTTTAGGTTAGCTTGGATTAGATTAAGTTAGTTTAAATTAGGTTATGCTTGAGGTTTATTAGATTAAGGTAAATTTGAGCTACGTTAGAATAATTAAGTTAGGATAAAGATGTATTTGTCTAGTTTAGAATACGTTTCCATTGGCGTAGGTAAAAAAAAAATAATGAGTTTGGATAATTTTAGGCTCCACTAGGGAAAACTGCCCCTACAGCACTGCATTCCTTCAGATCGCCTCACGCAACCTCACCAAACTTTTACTTTTTTTACTTTTACTTTTATCCTCTTCGCCCCTGATCGGCTTGTTAGCCGCTTGGGAGATCGGTCACGTCTCTTTTCATTTATCTTCTTCACCAAAAGATCGGCTCGCTAGCCGCCAGGGCGATCGGTCATGTCTCTGTCACGCACTGTTGGCAAATACTGGGCATGCACCGGCTCCTGAATGTACCTGAACCCGCTCCAGTGTTGGTCAAGTCTTGTCTTGAAAGAGCTCACACTCGGTGCCGTCACAACACTCTCTGGTAGATTGTTCCAAGAGTTTACAACCCTCACTCCGAAAAAGTTTGCCCTCACGGTTTTCTGGACTTGCGGCTTCTTCAATCTGGAGCTGTGACCCCTTGTGGGGCGAGCGTCCGCCAGCTCCAAGTAAGGACACTCAACTGAGTAGTGCCCCTGAGATGCTTATACACCTCAACTAGGTACCCCCTTGCCCGTCTGTAGTATAAGCTAGGCAAGTTCAGGCGCTCCAATCTCTCAGGGTAGCTGAGGTGCCGAAGTGCAGGCACCAGCTTGGTGGCCCTCCTTTGAACATTTTCAACCAACTGACAGTCCCTAGCATATCTCGGGGACCAGATGGGGTGACAGTACTCCAGATGGGGAAGCACTTCACTCCTGAAGATCGTCACGAGGGACGGACCGTCTAGATATCTGAACGACCTTCTTATAAGACCCAATAATTTATTTGCCTTATTTACCTTCTTCTCACAATGGCCCGAGAACTTCAGCTCATTGTCAACATACACACCTAGGTCCTTCTCACACACAGTCTCAACTAGTGCAGTTTCTTCATCCCATTGGGACATATGATACGCCTCCTTACCGTTGGTACGCCCCAGGTGCATCCTCTTACACTTCGTGACATTGAATCTCAGCAGACATTTCTTCGACCATTCCTGGAGCCCACAGAGGTCCTTCTGCTGCTCTTCACAGTCCGCTTGGTTCTTAATTTCCCGAAATAACTTGGCGTTATCGGCAAACATTTGTATGGAGGAGTGTACAACGTCAGGCATGTCATTTATGAAACAAACAAACAACAGCGGGCCCAATACACTGCCCTGTGGTAGTGGTACCCCACTTGTTAAAGGCACAGATGACGATTTCATGCCATTAATCACCACACATTGCTTGCGGTCATGTAGAAAGTCTACGCTAGGACATTTCCCCGAATTCCGTACCCTTCCAGTTTGATTTTCAGCCTTTCGTGGGGTACACTGTCGAAAGCCTTGGCAAAATCTAGGTAAATATTGTCGATATTACCACCCCGTTCCAGAATATGGGTCCAAATATCCAATACCTTGAGCAATTGTGTTAAGCAAGAGCGCCCCGGCATAAAACCGTGTTGGCAATCTTTTACAAGGTTGTTTCGTATTAGATGTTCCATTGCGGCATCTCTGATAATACTCTCAAGTACTTTACATATTATGCTGGTCAGGCTCACCGGTCTATAGTTGTTCGTGGAGTGACGATCGCCCTTCTTGAAGATAGGACTCATTAGCCACTTTCCATTCACTGGGGACCATTTGTTCATCCAGGCATTTACAAAACAGGATCTTCAGGGGCTCTGCAAGCTCGTTGCACAACTGTCTTAGCACTCTAGGATGCACCATGTCAGGGCCGGGACTCTTATGGACCTTTAGCCTGGACAGTTTATTTCTAATACCCTCTTCTGTGAACACAATGTGGGTCAGTGCTGTGTCGAACCGTCTGTCCTCAAACGCAGGAAGGTTAGTTGCATCCTCTCTTGTGAACACTGAGGAAAAGAAGCTGTTCAATGCCTCAGCTTTATCCTGGTCAGAATCTGCGTAACTACCATCCACCAGCCTCAGGTCTGATACTCCTACTCGCGTTTTCAATTTCGACTTTGCATAGCGGTAAAACGCCTTTGGGTTTGACTTGACCTCGCTTGCAACCAGCCTCTGGAACTCCTTTTCAGCCCTCCTACACTCTATCTTTGCTTGGTTTCTGGCTCTTGCATACATCCTCCTGTCTTGCTCATCGTTTGACCCAACCCACGTCTTGAATTTCTGGGTTTTCTTCTTAATTTTGTCGACCGCCGCATGGTTCATGTGTAGTGATTCCCTCGTATTCCTAGAAGCACTGGGTTTGGTCTTGGGTATATATTTATCGATCAAATGGGTCATTTTAGTAGTTATGATATTCAGCGTAGTGTCTGCGTTCTTGTACCTTAATAAGTCAGGCCAGTTGATACCCCTCATCTCTTCCCTCATCCCATTGTAATTTCCCTTGTAATATTTGCCCCTTGGCCTGGCCTTATCCTGAACTAGGTAACAGTTAAATCTGAATGACAACACTGTATGGTGACTGGTGCCAACTGGGGCAAGGTGTTCCAGTTTGGCCACCATACCCTCCAAAAGTTAAGTATTTAAAGAATCTATTAAGTCAACACAAATCTGCGCGTTTTATTGCTCTGAATTGACACTTCACAAAGGCTACAGTACTCTGACTAATTTTGTGGTTTGTCTAACAATTAGGTCAGCCTGGTGAAATTGTCTTTTTGAAACGTTCATCTTAGTGAGTCAAGCAAAAATAAGGATAATTATAATAACTATGATATGATAGAAATATTTTGGGCGAATACTAATAATAAGAATGGTGGTGATGAGTGTAATATTTCAGAAACAGTCGTATGTGGTTTTACGTTCTAAGACAATTAATTAACAAAATTTCATAATTTCGACCACAGATCCTTAATCAGCGTGCTGAGAACTACCTATACTGAGATTTTGAGCAAAATAATTTTTTCGACCCCCAAAATATTCAAAGGATACACCTTGTAATTTTTTGGGTTAAAAAACCCAATTTGCTCAAAATCTCAGTATAGGCTGTTTTCGGTGTGCAGATTAAGGATTGGGTCAAAAAGGGGAAATACGGGTTATTACGTGTCCTCATATGAATTAGCATAATTCATTATCAAAACTTCATGAACTAGGGTACTAATAATGGTATAACAATACAAAGAAATAAAAGAAAATTATCAAATTATAATTACAATTGTTCATTTGTTTGATTACATTACAATACTCGGCTTGTTAACATTTTCTGGGACCTCTTATACTTTTGTACGTTGTGCATTTCGTTACACTCAGTTGACTCGTGTTCCACACATGAGTCAACTGCGAAAGCTAAAATGTACTGAGGAGAGTTGCTGTATGAAACAGCTACCTGAGATTGTTTTTTGAAGTGTTATCACCGCTTATCGAACATGGTGGGCAACAAGTTAACAGCTGTGTTGACGACGAAACAAATAAAACTTTAGTTGTGTCAACTTTGTCCTGGACGCGCGGATGCCAAGATATTATTCGTTTTAACGTCCCTTTCGTTTTTTTTTGCAGGGAAATATATTTTTTGGGTGTATTTTGGAGTGATTTTTTTTAATCTGACCATTTTCTTTGGAAAATTCCCATTTATGAGAAAATGTAGGTAGTTGGCAGCTATCAAACAGGGAAGTACTACCGCCTGCGAAGATATTGGAAGCAAGTGTTGTCTAATGGTAGTGTAGTGGATTTCTCCCCTACAAACGCTGTTTGTCGCTGAGTAGCCGACCCCACCAATTCCCCAGTGTATGCCTCGTGGTCTACAGTAGGTCAACCAGCGCCGCCATACATCACGGAGCGGGGGTCAACTACTAAGCCACGCCTACCCCCCGCTATTTAAGACCTGACCTCGTGGTGACCTGTCTCTTTCTACCTACACCTACCAGCCAGCAACACCTCCCCCTCCTCCACCTGCCTGGCGGTCCTCACTCCCGCCGGCGGGCATGGCGACCCACAAGCTGGTCCTCCTCTGAGCATCCTCACCAACCAGCTCTCTCTACTCAACGCTTGTAACCATGCTGCCTTCCCAGTACCAAGCTGCATTGTACATCCAATACAACATGTATACAGAGAGCACATTGTGAGTTTCCTTTCTCCATTCCATCCTGAATGTGAAACAAACAATCACATCCCCACAATGGTGACTCCGGGAGATTCCCACTCACATAGGATGGAGGAGAAACTGATCACGCTCCCAGTCTTCAAGCAACATGGAAGCAGCTCTCATCG